GTGGCACCCTCTCACCGGCCTCACTTTGCTCAGATGTGAACGCGGTTACATGAGGGACCACAAGGAAGGGGCTCAGGCTGGGGCCCTCAGGACCCCCGCGGAGAGCTCACACTCTGCCCCCTACTGGGCCAGCACCCAGTCGGACCCTCCCCAGGCAGAACAGTGAAAATGACAACAACACAATACGCGGGTGCCCTTGCCGGTGGCTGCGGCCCATGCAGGGCACAGAGCAGGTGCTTTAACCCACTTGGCCTTGACTATCCCAGAGGCTGGAATGGTCATTCCCAGCTTTCAGATGATAAAAATTGAAGCTCAGAGAGGTGAAGTAACTTGCCCAAAGGCACATAACCGCTAAGGGTAGAACCAGAAGTGCACCCAAATCTGTCCGGCTCAGATCCCATGCTCTTAACCCTCGGTGGGGCAGCCACTGGAGACAGGACACGTCGCCCCTTTCTCCACCCCAGCCCCACGACTCCCACACTGGGGGTGTTAGAGAGGGGCTGCCCCCAGAGTTCCCCGCTGGGCCCCTTGGCCCATAGGAGGGTCAGTCCTGCACAATGGCCCCCGTGCGTGTGGTGCGGGGAGGAAGGGTGATGAGCCGCTCCAAGTGGGGGAAGCTCCCTGCGTGGCCTCCTTTGGAGCAGGGGCAAGGCCTTGGCCACAGACTCTGCAGAGCTTTCCTCTCTCCTGCTCACCAGGCGGTTCGAGCTCCCTTGACTGGCTCAGAGAAACTTCAATTAATCACCCACTCAAAGTGCTGCCATCAGCCCAAGAATAATCACCTCTTGAAACACTCCTGGCTCCAACGTTCAAGAATCTAGGCTTCCACGGCAATACGGACTGAAGTTAGTCATTCAGCACGGCTTCCTCAACGGCAGGAACGAATGTACTACGGGGTTGGGGTGGGGTAGCAGTGAGGAATCTAACCTGCTCCGGTGACCCCCAAAGGAGAGTTCGGGCAGGAGGGTGCAAAGGGACCTAAGGGGGAGGGTGGGGAATAGAAGGGATAGAAAGCTGGCAGGATGGTCTCTCCATTCGCCCCCTCCTCACAAAGACCAGACAAAAGAATTAAGAACTTAAAAACAGCGGCACAAAAAAATTGGGGTCAAGCTCCAAGGCTGTCCCCAGCATCAGGCCAAGTTCTTGGAGCATCAGCCCGGGGTGGGGGGGTGAGGAACACTGTCATCTCAAGTCCTGACCTGGGAGGCAGAAGGCCTGGGCTCCTGGCACAGTCATACCACCGATCTGCCCCTTTCCGTGCCTTGGTGTACCCAGCAGCACACTGCAGGCCTGGGCAGAAGGGCCTCAGAGGGCCCTTCGGGGGAAGCAAAGGCCAGCAAAATTCTAGGAGGCCACCCACGCTGCTCCCACGCGGGCCTGAGGCCGCCCTCCCAGACAAACGCACAAATACACACAGACCTCTAAGGGCAGCCCCGCAGGTATGGACAGGCGGGGGGGGGGGGGCAGAACACTCGGGAGTGGGGTCAACTCTGCTCTGTCCTACGGGTCTGGGCTGGGGCCGCAGGCCCAGGTGTGTGTCTGCGAAGCGAGTGCAGAGTGGACACAGCTGTGCATTAGGTTTCCTTTCACTGGATGCCTGCTGCAGGTGCGTGTGTGACATCCACGGCCGTGTGTGTCCAAGTTGTAGTGAGCGTGTGCATGAGGCAGGCCGCTGAGCGTGCCACGGGGACGTGTGTGCAAAGCCGTGAACAGCAGAAGTATGACTGCCTTGGGTGAGGCTGGGCAGTTTCCACCCAATCCCACAAACCCTTGTCACTGCCCACCCCCTGCTGCCTGTGTGCTGGGTGCTGGGGCCAGAGAAACCACTGACACAGGACTACCGCGCCTGAGGCTGGGCCTGGGGCTAGGCTGCTGGCCTAAGCCGAGTCGCAGGAGAAGGACAGCTCTGAGTCCGACGTAGCTCTGAGCAGGCTCCTCAGTGACCTCTCTTGAGCCTCAGTCTCCCCATCTGTCAAAGGAGGAGGAGAACAGTACCCTCCTCAAGGACGTGGTCTACGGAGAGCACTTAGCACGGTGCCCGGCCACATAACCGATGCTCCACGCGTGATGAGAAACTTCAGTTCAAATTCCAAGGGCCAACCCAGGCGGCTGCAGGGAGCAGGGGGTGGTCCTGGACAGGAAGTCAGGAGTCTTTGCGTCTGGTTCTGCATTTGCTTCTCATTCACTGTTTGACTCGGGAGCCTTAGTTTTCTCATAAGCAAAATGGGCTGTCAAAATGTGAGGACCCACCTAGTGGGGATGCCTGAGGGCTCTGGGCCCCCTCTGCTGGACTTATTTCCAACCCAGGCAGTGATCTTTCTCAGATGGTCAGGGTGGGAGCTTGGAGGACTCCCGGATTAGGAGTCTAGGGCCCCAGGAGCGGCGGCCACCTCCTCCCCTCCCCATTCCCACAGCTTCTGACCCCAGGGACAAGGCTGAGGAGGATGTTTACAGAGTGTAAGCCTTCACATAGAGAAAGTGCTGGGCAGCTGGGGGCTGGAAGCAGCCAGCCTCACAGTGGCGCGGGGAAGATGGGAAGTGATGGGGCCTTGCCCTGTATCAGCCCCTTCCAGCGCTCTGGCTTCAAAAGGGAGGCTGGGGTGGCCTTTGAGAGAATGCAGCAAGGAGGTGAGCATCCTTCCCGAAGGCTCAAGAAGCAGGATGGGCAGTGATGTGGTGTTTCTCAAAATTCAGAGAGCAGGGTCTATAAAGGGTTGAGGGCTTAAGTCAAAGGCTGGGGATGCAGAGGAGGGACTGGCTGAGAGGACTGGGAGCCTAAAGAGAGGTGAGAGAGCTCAGAGATGGGCCCACAATCCCTCAGTCTGGACCTCAGTAAGGAGAAGACCAGAGTCAGCGGTTCCCACTTCCCAGAGGCCACAGCTGCACTGGCAGGAGAGGAAAAATCGGGGCTTGTCTTCTGGGTAATCTCCCACACCTCGGTGCCAGAAAAGGTGCGGGGCCCAGGAGGACCTCGCTGGCAGGTGTGAGGGCGGTGTCGCCTGGGGTGAACAGACCCAGCTCACCCCAATTCCCTCCTTCTGAGCCCTCCTCTTCCAGGCTTTTCTGCCAGGGCCCTCCTACTTGGGCCTGAGCCTCTGGGAAGGGGGTGCTTGCTAACTGTGCACATTGGAACCCCTACGCTTGAGCTGCCTCGGAGCGCCATTGTGGAGTGGGGAAAGGATTTGACCAACAGTGCAGAGGGAGAGCTAGAAGTCCAACAGCAGGAAGCGCTTCCTGGCAAGAACAGCCAAGACCCTACAGTGAGTGGCTGAGAAACCCCACACCTGGAGCGCCTCCAGAATGGGAGAGGCTTCCTGTGTGGGCCCCCTCCGCCAGCCCCAATAATAACATCCATCTTTTACACTCAGACCCTTCCAGCTCACCAAGCTCTTTCCCACCTATTACCTTATCCAAGAGGGAGGTCCACAAGGTTGGGGTTTCTAACCACTTTGATGGCCGAGACATCTAAAAGCTCAGAGAGGCCCAGCCATCAACCCAAGATCACACAGCACACAAGAGGTGGGGCTCCCAACCCCTCACTTCCTTTGATCTCTAAGTCAGATGACCAGTTCCCTGAGAACTCCTAAATGTCTGGATGTTTTCACACTGCATTTCCTTCCTCAGAGCTCCTGAGATGCCTCGTCCCTGGGCTCCCGGGCACAAGTGGTCAGAACAAGCGTGCCCCTGGCCAGGGCATTCCTGGCATCCGGAAAGGGGAGGATGTGGGGCAAAGGTGCCAGCGGATTTAGCTCCTGGAGAGGAAGGAGAGGCCCTTCCAGAGGACGCGAAGACAGTGGCTAGCCAGGTGACATGAGGCTGGTCCTTCACCTCCAGTGACCCCCGTGGAGACCGAGAGGCCAGGCCTCGGGACTAAAGACCCCCACCCCAGAGGTCAACTGGCTTCCCCAGGCCCAGCCATGCCTTGGACAAGTCATCTCCCAAGAGGAGCCCACGGAAGGCACAGCGCTCTCTGCGTCTCAGCCTCCTTGGGCACCCCAGGCTGCAATGCAAGCAGTACAACCACCCTTAATTAGCAGTCCCCCTGCTCCTCTCACCTGACTCCACTGTCCCTTGTACTGTCATCACTCCAGCAGTCCTCTCTGCCGCGAAAAATATTCAGCTTGGACCTTCCCAATGGGCACTGGGGGTTGAACTACTCCTAACAGCTGACCATGACCCTAAACCTGACCTCATGTCCTGACAAACTCCACTCTGCCCCGGGGCCTAGCCCAGCGGGGGTCTCTGCACAAAGTCAAGGCTACACCCCCACCCCCATCCCCCCCCCTGCCCCCAAGCATACTGGCTGAGAGAGTTCTTTTCCTCCACCTTCCCTGTGGCGGGGCGGGGGGGGGG